ATACTTTAAAACAGTGTATAAAATTGTATACCGTACAATTCAAAGTTTTTTAGACTATTATTAAATAAAATAATAAACAATAGGTATTTACTATAAGTTATTTTTTGCATGGAATAATTTTTGGGTAAACTAATTTTATAATAGGGGTACAATACAGAACCCGTTATCCGGAAATGAGAAAACCGGAAAACCAAAAAACCGGAACGAAATTCGATAAATTTTCCCGCAATTTTTTTAAAAAAATTTTTTTTTCCTCATAAGATTTTAGGATTTTTCTTTCTTTTTTGAAAGATGTTTACCTTACCATCATTTCAGAAATAATCATTAGTGTATTAAATCATCGTTTTTTCTTATTTTTAAGATTATTTCCAAATATTTTTTTTTTTAGTTGGGTTGATCATTTTTTGTTGCATATCGANATAAAATAATAAACAATAAGTATTTACTATAAGTTATTTTTTGCATGGAATAATTTTTGGATAAACGAATTTTATAATAGGGGTATAACGAATATTCCGTCACTTTTCGGTATTCGGGCCCTTTTGCCGAATATTCGGCAAGACTTAATTCTGCCACTTCTAGGTAAGACAGATAACTAGTAACATAGAAAACTGAGTTTTTCAACGTCTCAATATTTCAGAGCAAATATTGTTTTTTTTTTTTCATGTTTCCCTTTGGATTTTCTTCTTATTAACTTTTCTTTCTATCAGCGTTTTTATTAAAAAAAAACATTCTTTTTAAGAGCGTTTTTAATGATCGCTATTTTTTTATGATCATTTTACGCTTAGGGCTCATAATCAGTTTTCAAAATGTTTTCGAGTCATTAAGCTAAATATTTTCACAGTAAATACTTAAGAAAAAAATATGACTAAAAAAATTATCAACGCTTTATTAACAGCCTTATTAACTTAAATAAGTAATTTTCAAAACGAGCGAGTTTAAGATATTTGTATTAACAAAGCTAAACAAAAATCAATCAACGTTTTCCTTATTGTACAAAATAGGTTCTTGTCATCAATTTCCAAGTGCTTCACAGTCACATGACTAAAAAATAAATATCTTAACGTTAATAAATAAGGCTAAAAAAAATCTGTCAATACTTTATAAACAACCCTATTATACAAAGAATAATATTCATGTTCGCAAAATCTGTTAAAATTCGTAATAAATTTTTTAAATTATCTTCCGTATTTTCCCACCGCAAAACTGGAAACTGAATAAATAAACAATGATTGTAAATGTAAAAAATATTTATTAACTTGTTTCTAATTATAAAAAATAAGTTCTCGTAATCAATTTTCATGTGCTTTACAGTCACGTGACTAAAAAATAAATATCATAACATTAATAATTAAATAAAGCTAAAAAAAAATCTGTCAATGCTTTATAAACAACCTTATTATACAAAGAACAATATTCATGTTCGGTAAATCTTTTAAAATTCGCAATAATTTTTTTAAAATATCTTCCGTATTAAACCGTATCCCACGAAACTGAATAAATAAACAATGATTATAATTGTAAAAAATATTTATTAAATTGTTTCTAATTGTAAAAAATAGGTTCTCGTATTCAATTTTCACGTGCTTTACAGTCACGTGACTAATTAAATAAAGCTAAAAAAAAAAAAAACCTCTGTCAATGCTTTATAAACAACCTTATTATAGAAAGAATATTATTCATGTTCGGAAAATCTGTTAAAATTCGTAATAATTTTTTTAAAAATATCTTCCGCATTTTCCACCACAAAACTGAAAACTGAATAAATAAATAATTAAACAAAAAAAAAAGGGAGGGAATTACATTAATCAAAAATCAGCCAACCATTTTCTAACATCGCCAATATGCAAACTAACTTTCTCGTTATTTTAAACCAGGAACTAACATCTGTTAAACAGAGATAAATGTCGGAAATCCGTTCGACCGAATTTATCAGAAGCTCCAATCGACGGTTTCATTGTTAATCGACTGTACAAACAGATTTTCTGAGCGTGTCATCCAACTCCGTCCTCGTGTTTCGGATTTTCATTGTAAAAATTAAAACAGACATTTTATTCTCGTCACCTAAAATAAATGTTCTGCTTCAGTAGTAAAGTAAAATATACTAACAAAATGTCGAAGTTTTTATTTTCGAAGCTTATTTTGCAATTTTTGAGGCTGCGAGTAAATTTGACGGTAAATTAAAAGAACGCGACCTTTACAGAAGGGGACACATGAAAAAAAAGTTCCATACTTTAATATGCAGGGGTCTGTCCAGACATTTTGTGAAAGGTCCGTTTTTGTTAAAATTGTGAAAAAATGACTCGTAATTTGTGAACATAAAATAGACGTTAAGTCACATTCTTTCAACCAGGGTCCGATTTTGTGAATTTGTGCAAATAGGGTCCGTTATTGCAAAAAAACTTTTTCAATGAGTTTTTAAATTGTAAAGACAGACAAGATTATGCTCAACACTGTAAAATTATAATTAAAAAAAATTAAATTTTAAAAAATAGACAGTAATTGCAACTACTAAATTAGCGATACAACATACAAATATTTGGTATTTAGCCTATACTGCTCAACACAGAATATTCATTTCGGATGAATAAAGGAAGAATCGTCGGCGGAAAACAAAATTTAGTTCGTTTACATCTGTCTTTCTCCCCCCCCCCCTTCTTGAGAAAGGCTTATTCGATTAACAAAACAATAATGAAGATAAACAAATTTCTGAAGGGTCCGATTAAAAGATAAACTATTTTGTGAAGGTTCGTTTTTAAGTTAAAATATTTTGTGAAGGGTCCGTTAACGGAGCCAAATTTCTTCTATGAATGGGGTTCGAAATCCCAGCGATGCCATATTGATACGAATTCCGCACCCGGCTCGCACCGATTACAGAGCTGACATAAAATATCCACAGTGGTAGATGGATCATGGGTAAGAGTCCCCTTGCAGCCTGGCTAACTGTGGGAGGTTTTCGTGTGTTCTCCTCCATAAAACACAAATCAGTGTCAGTTTCATCAAAAAAGTCCTCCACGAAGGCAAATTTCTCCCAAAGCTTGATCCAGGTATTCCCTTGTCTTCTGGCTTGAATTCAAACTTACAGGGCAACGGAGTTTAACATTGGTGGTCGTAAACCCAAACAATTAGGTCGGCTGTTCAACGAAAGTTATAAAATAAAATTGCGAAAAGAACAATATCAATTTATATCAAAAATTCTAAGTCAAATACAGAGAATTGTATATAATGTTTACAAATATGCACAATATTTTCGAAATAAAAAAGAAAGTTTGAAGTTTTGCATACTTAGCTTTTAACAGGAAAAAAATTAATTATAGTACAAGTCGATTATTTTTCAGATATTAGTTTCAATAAATGGTAAAAAATTAATTATCTAAAAAGGAATGTCTTAATTAGTAATATTTAATTTAAAAGCATTACAAATGTTAGCTAAAATTTAAAGAAAAAGAAGTCATAATATTAATCGTCTTTTTATTATTTTATTTTTCTTAACCGTTCCACCTCTTAAAAGTTCAGCTTCTACTGTTCTAAAACCCTAAATTTAAAATAGAGCCATTGAAAGAACAGAAAATACATAATATTTTGTCAAACATTGACATTATTTTTCTGTTAATCTACAGACTATACAAACATTCTTGCATAAAATCACAATGTATTATAGAATTCATAAAGAATATGTAAAACACGTACAACGAAATCACGAATTTGACAAGCATTAAGTAGCAGATATATATACACATTCTTGCATTAAGCCTAAGTTATATAAAAATCCTAAAGAAAAAATTATATGCAAATAGATATGGCAAATTAGCAACGAAACAACGAGTTTAATAATACAAAGTAAAATTTAACGTGCATATACAGCAAACTGAACGAGGAAATCTCAAATTTTACAAAACCTCATGTTCTTGATTCCCCCAATAAAATTTTGAAATTATTATAATAATAATAATATATTCCCCAAGCTTAGTTGAAAAGATATGTTATTACCAATACCGTAACTATTTATTTGAATAATAATAAAACGAATTTTCAATAAATGAATAATTCAAATTAAAAATAAATCATTAGATCTGAAGCTATACATCCCACAAAGCAGTGTTAATTTCTTAACTCAGATTTTAACAATATTATGATGCAATCACAAGAATGCATCAGTAAAAAGAAATTTAATAACTTGGAAAAAAACTTCCAAAAAAATAAAAATAAATTTCAACGATATTGTTCCATACCGCACTGTTACTAATTATACTAAGGTAAGAGTTATTACTAAAATACAGTTACATGACTCAACTATCAAACATTTAAAAAATTTAATAACTTCAGAAAAATTTTAAAGAAAAATTTATTACTTTAGAACAATTAGGTAACAACATATTTTTACTGTTATGTAATTTAGTTATCAGTAACAGTTAGTAATATTTCAATATTTGATATATTTAAAATAAAATTCCAAATAACAAACCCATTTAAATTAAGTTAGTAGTTTTCAACAAATGTTTACGATTTCGGACATTTGGAAAATAAAATAACTTCAAAAATATTCCGAAAATACATTCAAATTAAGTAAATAGAACACAAATCTTAACTGTATCAGTAACAAGTTACGAAAATTAATAACTTGGAAAAAATCAGAATACACATTTAAATTATGTAAATATTTTATCTGTTACATAACTTAGTTATCAGTCATACATTTCAAAGTTAAATAGATTTAGAAAAATAGCGAAAAAACAAAGTTTATGACGGATCTATAGTAAAATAACTCATTGGACGTTTCAAATCTATAGATAATATACGATCTAATAGATAAAATCCAAATTAACATATTTAAAATAGGTAAACATACACGAGAAATTTTTACTGTTTCGTAACTCAGCAACCAGTCATACATTTCGAACGTTGAGTCGAATCATACACACAGCGAAGTGCTTTGTTTACAACCCGCAAACGATTTTCCCACAAACCTCAAAAAGAATGAAAAAAAAATCTGAACTTACCCATTCAAATACTTCTGAATGAAGGATTCCTGTGGCGTAGAGCCGGGATGAGTAGTTGGATTTTTTTCTAATTTAGAATTATCCGTTTGATGAGGTATTTGCCTCAGTAATCCAGCGATTTTCTCCCTTAGCGTTGGCATGGCGAAAGAGACGCCACAATTTTCGGTTTAAATCGAAGAGAATATCACGACGACACTTTCCCCTGGTGACTTCTTCTTCAACAACCCTACTGGACTCTATCGAATGTTTTGATGCTGCATCTCTGAGAGAAAAACACCGCACAGAGTTGCTTTGGCTCGGATTCGAAGATGCAAGAGGGATCAAGGGTTGCTTTGAAATGAATTGTGTTTGATTTGGCGCTGGTTGCTTGGCTTGAAATTTATTTCCATCCTCGCCAAATGAAACAGGCAAAATCAATGGAATATTGAAGATAAGAAAATAAACATTAGGTTGAGCATTTTCTCATAAAAAGTCGAATTGAATTAATATATTTTTATGTATTCAGTTTAAAAATATGCGCATTTTCTCATATAAAAATTTTTTTGTGATAACATAATGCTTTTTCAATTTAAGTTTTAAAAATTGAGCATTTTCTCATGAAAAAGTCGAACAATATTAATATATACGTATTTTTAAATTCTGTTGTAAAAGTTACACATCTTCTTATAAGAAGCCGAACGATGTTAATATATATTTCTTAAATTTAAAAGTTACGCATTTTCTCATAAAAAGTTAGTAGAACTGCATGAAGATATATTATTTAAATTCTGTATTAAAAGTTGCGCATTTTCTTATAAAAAGTCGAACTGTATGAGGATATATTTTTTAAATTCAATTTTAAAAGTTATGCATTTTCTCATAAAAAGTAAGTAGAACTGCATGAAGATATATTTTTTAAAATTCTGTATTAAAAGTTGCGCATTTTCTTATAAAAAGTCGAATTGTATGAAGATATATTTTTTAAATTCAATTTTAAAAGCTATGAAACAATAATAAACATAAACAAATTTGTGAAGGGTCCGATTAAAAGA